GATGAACTGCTGACATGAGCATTACGCTGATGGTGGCACGAGTTGTTTGAGTCGCTGGAAACTTGGTACTTCTGCATGTTTGAAGTCGATAAAAATGATCGTCTTGACCAATTACACAGCAAAGAAACCATGATGCACTCTGATTGGTTAATAATCAGAAGTAAGGCCAGCCAACTTACGAATTCCACAAACAAGTCATAATACAGAATTTTACAGTCGCCTGGTGGGGTAACTGTAAATAATCCGGATAGAACTGTACAATAGCGTTTTCAGTCGCCTGGTGCGGATGCTCCAACTGGTCCACTGTTGCTTATGTAGTCATTTCCTTTCAAAAGAACCAGTAGCCCAGTAATCTCGGAGCCCCCGGACCCCTTGTGTTGCTATTCCTGGGGTAAATTTCATCACCAGTGGTTAGCGATAGCTAACCACTGAAATGCACTTAACCCCAAGCTAGAATGTGTGGTTTTGGTTTTCACTGTATTTCACTATTCCATAAAAGGAGCAAGTGACAGGTTACGTAAGCAACAGTGAAACTGTTGCTCTCAGGGAATTACTGTGCCGACATATACTAGTACGTATATTTCCTCAAAAATCAATTTCTATTGATATTTCGGCGATTGAAAAAATTCACAGTCGATCTCCTACTGTATAAGGTTAACCCAAAAGGACGGGAGCTTTTTCTGGTAATTGTTCGGAATCAGCTTCAACCTAGACGTCAGTTCCCTTCGACCAAGGTAAATAAATATCTGTGATAATAATGTGAGTAATATTCACATGCTTTGCGATCGGTCGCGTCCTGGTGAATTTCTACCGATCAAAAGTCCGAGTAAATGACTGTGCAGATTGCAACGTATACTAACGTTAACGATAGACGTATAGTATTAATAGGTTGTACTATTGACGTTAGCTTGCAAATGTATCTGGCTAAATAGAGAGTTTTCGGACAATCACATTTGAGATACTTCCTCTGTTTCGTATTACTGCCACCATTGGAAAGGGCACTACAAATTCAAATTTTGCCCAAATTTGATGCGACCAAGCCTCGAAATTCGACCATGAAAAGCTGAATTTGGTGTATATTGAGCGATCGTGCGAAAATGAAATCTACCTTGTCAAAACTCAAGTTGTTTAAACGTTTTCGGAATAAAAATACGAAATATGTATAAAAGTAGCGGACCTGAACAGTAGTAACTTACTCAATAAAAATATTCGAAGTTCATCGAGCTTCGAAGCATGTTTGTCCGGATGCTGTCCGGATATTAAATTTACTTGATTAAACTATTGGCAAATGGTAGTAATATGAAAAATGAAGTGGTGGCAGTAATACGAAACAGAGGAAGTACGAATCTCCAATTCAAAAGTGTAAAACGTCATTTTTGGTCGTAACGTTATTCTCCTTTTACCCAATATTTGGACTTTTGTGCTGATTCTCCAAATCTATCGATCGATTCTTTGTATTGACTTTTGCATGTACAGATCGACCAGTATCACACTAATTTCATTCACACACTAATTCGATGTTGAATTATTTGATTGGCAATTTGATTCATGTTTTGTATTTTGATTGGTCAATCGATTGTGTGCCGATTTGGTGCTGCTCATTCGATTGAGCACCCAACTCCAATTTCGAATCGAATGAACAATACGAAGTTGTGAAATTAGGAGGTGGAAGCGCCAACTTTCCAAGGAGTCGTGCAAATTCCAATTAATGTTACAATACTAGTACAATTGTTGAATTGTTGGCGTGGCAGTACGGATACAGTACCGTTACCAAGCGGTTCGATTAATTGAGTTTTGGATTATCATTATTAAGACATTCCTCCTTGAGGGCCGATACGAAGCGATTCGAGTTTACCTCTGTTTTAATGAGAAACACGCCCATAAGCAGTACAAGGCATTACACTTATCTCAATGACAGTGACTGGGAGTCCATCCATACCAGACTGATTGCTCCTGAAATGGTTGCATCGAAGGAATTTGCGGTTACGCGTAGCTCTATCCGGCTAACTAGCCTAGAGACTGGCTAACTTTGCCTTTGACGAGTTCGCATCCGTGGAACAAGTTCGGTGTCGGTGCCAGCTGTGGGCAGTGTTCAACGAGGATGAGGTGGGTGAGGTTGCGTCATGTGAAATGGATGTAAGGTACGTTCACATCGACCAATATCCGGATGAAATTCGAACTTCCTCCGATTTTGAGCCGAGGTTCAGCGCTTGACAGTGAATCTCCAAATCGATTTGAGACAGGAACAATCTGAAGATTTCATTTCAAAGGGCTTATTAACTGTAAATCAAGGAGTATTTTGGGTCACCGAAAACTCTCTATTGACACAACAGTCCAAATTTGGGTGAAAGAAACAGAACAATACTGAGTCTCCTACGAAATGTCTTGGAGAAAAGTCGATTGCGATTTCTTGCGACGTTCAAGCTGGCGATCGGCATCCTTTAATCAAGTGAAATATGAGTATCCAATCCAAAAGGGTGAGCTCAACATCATAATAATAATATGACAGGCAGTACACTGCACTAACGTTAATAGTACTTTCTCCCCTTGCCGAGACCTCAACGACGATGGTCGTGTCTCCAGGAGAGTTCGTAAACTACCTCTTACCCCTCGTGCCTGCAGGAATATGCGTCGTAGCTTCGCTCTACACATGCTTTTGCACGACCCATGGCTTCCACCGAGTGCCACTGCTGGATCACGAGTACGCCGTGCCAACAAGTCGTCCATTCTAATCCACCGTAGGTTTTTGGACTTCATGCCAGGGATTGACCGACTTGAGCTAGAAGAGCAGTACGTTTTCTCGCTTTGACCATTCGTGTATATCGCTGGATCCATAACCTCATCCAGGCTAGCCAACGAAGCTCGATGGACGTGCGCCGTGTGTGCCTTCAAGAACCTAGACACTACGCTCGAATGCAATCTATGTGGTACAGGTAGGTGTATACACTCGATTGGATCCGTGCACAACCTTCACGAATTCGTAGGTCAACCCAAGGCGGGTGGCCAGGAGCCCTTGACCACACCCCAGCGACTAGCTCGGTACGGCCTCCTCCTTCCTTGAACCTTTGACCACCATTCGAATAAACGTAGGAGACGACGGCGGTGGACTCGAGATATCGACGACGACAACCGCCGCGTGGTATGGACGGACGTTGGTGCCAACAGCATCATGGACAGGTCGTGGGTACTGGAAGTAGTGTCGTCGGCTTCGTTCGGCTTGGCTGGTTCGGACTCGGATCTAGAATGCTGCATTCGCATTGCTCTTACACCATCCTCAACCTCAGCAAAGGGCCCACCGCCCGCGGCCACAAGTGTGTGGCCCGACGTCGCGTCCATGCCGCTCAAATTACAATGGAGTCCGTCCCAGCAACGCGATGCCAACTGCACGATGCTCGGCAAGGCGCTGTCCGTCCCCGTGTGGGAAGGCCTCGTGGCCATCTCTCGCCTCATGTTTTCGTCCAAGTACGCGTGGTTCCTGCAACAGGTCGCAGACATGCGGCTGCCAGTGGCCGAGCTGTGAGTCGTCGGCGTCGTGCCAGTAGTTGGACAAATTGCTTAATTCTGTTGTAGACGCTTGGAAGTCAAGTCCTGCCGCATGACCTTGCTGGCGGACGCGACGGCGACGCTACTCGACCTGCAAGGTCCGACCCGATGTGCCATTGCCAGACACCAGTTTGACGGCGAAGTGGCCATCGATGCTGGCGCCGTCCAACGAGAATGGTACGTCCCTTTGTAAATATATCTATCCAATGTCCAGGCTCTGCATCCACGTAGGTAGTATTTCATTCGCATTGGAATGATGATCTTTGAGATGATGTAGGTACACGTTGGTGGCTCAAGCGTGGATGGACCCAGCAACCACAGGGCTGTTCGACATAACCAACCGTACCAACAACTCGTACTACGTCAACCCCAAGCAACAACACAATGATAATTCAAAGTACAATCATGTTTATCTACAGTACACTATGATATTGAATCGCAAGGGGGTAGAAGCCACCTCGAGCAGTATCGCGCGTTTGGCCGGTTCTTGGGTCGAGCTCTACTGGACGGCCAAGTGCTTCCCATTCAGCTCAACCCGGTGCTATTTCAACGTACGTCAAGATATATATTAATAATATATTTTACAAACACAACTACTACGTTGTAGTGCTGTTGGGGATTCCCGTGGAGTTTGAAGATTTGGAGTGCTTGGACCCTGTGGTGTTCAAGAGGTTTGAGATTGCCCATGGCAAACTGATATGGACACTCACGGTCGGTACTGTAGCTTGACGTATGTGTTGGAGTGCCAAGACGTGGCTGAGCTGTGCCTGACCTTCTGCGCCACCAACGAGTATGTGGATGGTCATGTGGAGGAAGTGGACTTGATCGACGGGGGCCGCCACATCTGTGTGGACAAGACCAACCGCGTGCAGTATGTGGAGACAATGGTACCAACTACGTACAGTAGAAGTAGTACATACTCGTGGTTGGATAGTAGTCATGAAAGCTGTACTTGTAGACGAAGTACTTGATCTGTGGTCGCATCCAAGACCCATTGATGGCCATGGTGAAGGGGCTGTACGACATCGTGCCGCCTGAATTGCTCGTGATTTTCGACCACAAAGAGGTACTGTATCGACTACGATGATATTCTCGTTCGACTTACATGTATATGTTGGTGGTAGTTGGAACTGATTTTGTGTGGGCTGGCGGTGGTCGATGTCCAAGACTGGAAACGCAACACTGTCACATCCCCCAACTTGACTCAGACGCGCCTGGTCGACGTACGACATCTCAATTGCCATTGGAACGTGGTTGTGATACTCATTCTGCGATACTGTAGTGGTTCTGGGACGTGGTGGGGGCGATGGAGACCCACGACCAGGCCAAGCTGCTGCAGTTCACCACGGGGTCGTCTCGTGTGCCCGTGCAAGGCTTCAAAGGTACTAACTAGGTTTTTCCGAATGACTAGTGAATTGAGATGTGAATTGATGGGGTTGAATTGTAGGCTTGACGAGCTACGACGGTCGCATTTGCTACTTTACCCTGAATGGCGTGGCGTACGCAGCTGGCAAGTACCCCGTCGTCCACGCGTGCTTTAACCGCCTCGACTTGCCATTGTACCCGACCAAAGACCTCCTCCAAGACGCGCTGAGCACGCTCCTGCTCTCAGACCCCACGGGATTTAACACAGTGTAGAATAATAAAGTATTATTTTCGAAGGCCCCTGGTTCTGGTTCGTAGTTTACTTGTCGAGTGGTTGAGCGTGTTGTGAGAAAGCTGTTAGTTGTGCTTTCCCTACAACGGGCCATCCCTTTGTTGGCACCTAGTATTTTTTAGGACAGTAGCCATTGGATAAGGTTTGGTTGACCACCAACTAACTGTACATGGATATCGCCATTGCCTGTACGAGATTTCGCACGTCCACGTTAGATTCGACTTGTATAATACATAATACGGTAA